GTTTTGAGTGTGTTACATCATGAGAATGTGTAAACTGTTCACATACATCGGGACTGTAAAAGCAAAAGTAAGGTAGATTTATGAAGATATAAATTATGCATTTCATATAGAAAACTTAATTTTCTCCCATTGTCTCTCTCTCTCTCTCTCTCTTTAATAATTAACAAGTTTATACTAAAGCAATTCCAAGTATGACTATATTATACCTAACGAATTTGGATTTTTTTGCTGATCAACAAGTGAATTGTTAAAATGTACTTCGAAATAGGAGAATATCACTAACCGTTTGTGAGATGTTTTATCAAACAGTTGTACTCAGTGTTAAGGGAATAAGCACCACACATCCGGGGAGCAATTATTAAGTGGATCTCTTTTCAAAAAGTTTAAACATACATTACACAAAACACAATTTATATTTGTTTGCACTATATACCACGCTGAAATTTTACGAGACTTTCATGAGAACTACGTATGCATGTGTATATTTTTTCAGGCTAAAGTAACAGTTTACACGTAATGTATATTTTACTGGTAGACATGAAATTGTAAAATATATTGTCAATCTATCAGTATTTCTTAATGCTTAACTTGGATAATGAAAACAATGAAGTTATACTAATGTCCATGAAGATTTTTTCTAACAATAGGAAAAGTTATTTCTTCCTTAACTCGAATATCTGACATCTAGTTCGACCCTAACCCCCAGTCCAAATTCTCTTACATATAAAAGCACCTTAGTAATATTTACCTTGTAAAGGTAGATAATTAACACAAAGATAAAAATATTTTAGTCCTTCATGTTAAGCGCATATGAGTTACGACCTCATTTTCTCCCTAAATTAATGGGGATCAGCTAAAGAGGACTGCCATTTGATTAGTTTATTCATTTTGCCGTAAAACTCTATTATCAAGTTTACTTATTTGTCTACCTAAAAACTACCCCATACCATTTTTAAAGTTTATTATCATTTTCAATGTACATATAAAATTGATGAACGTTCCATACCATCATTAAGGTTACCGACTTTCTAACCCTTTTTATCTATCTATCACTGAGCTTTATATAGTCAAAGGGGTGAATATATTTCAATCACAATTTCCTTGGAATAAAATTACTTTTCATTCAGGTCAAAAATCTCATGACCCAAGTGAATTCACGCTCAGTGTATACATACATGCGTTTTGATTACGTATGTATAATGTTTGACAGGTTGACTTAGAAGTCATGTACGTGATCCGGAAGTTATCAATTTCCAAACAAATTAAAAGCTAATAAAAATTTACATGTTCGGTAACGCGTTACAGTTTGAACTAATCAATTTTAACTACACCGATCGAAAATGATTTACGTCTCATTGAAATCCGAAGAACCACTTTTAAAAGGCACAAGTTCCTGTTTAAAGAGAGTGGAAGTGGTGTGTGGTTATTGGGCTGTAATTTTGTAACATATATGACACTCGGTTTGTTTTGATAGTTAATTTCATGTTAAAACATCATTCAAAATTACTAAACTTATTTCATTTACTCACAAAATGAACAAAAGTATCAGCTGCATTACAATATAACAGCCGTATAACCCCCCACGAGATAGAACAACTTTACTTTTGAATAACAAGGCTGTCATGTGTTTTAGGTGCTAAAATGTTGGTCTATTCGGAAAGACTGCCAATAACACAGTGCTTAGCCTTTAGGAACAAAATTTTACATGGCGAACCTAGTAGTCATAGGGTACTAACAAGTCGGGAGTGACTTCAGCATCTGATGACTGTCAAAAAATGTCCCAACTCACCCGACTCTCTTCAAAGAGACGCTTTATATTAGTGAAACCAATTGTGAGGTCAATTGCATGTTAATTAGTAACCCACTAATTACTCCCCAACGCTAAGGAGAAGATTCTGAGTAACAATTCAAGTTGTTCGTTAAATTAACAGCACCAACTAAATTGTCTTGTCCTCTTTGGTAGGCAATTTATCCAAAGGCCTGGAAGTCCAGAAGGAATTCTGACTTTTGATAGGTTACAACCCATCAATCCCAGACAACTCACCTTCAGGTATTTTCAGTGATTTAATATAAGCTCTGATCAGAGAACTAAGCATATTGTCTGAGAATATCCGGTTGTTTGAGAGTGTAATATCATTCTTCTATGAAACTATTGTGGTGCTCACCTTCAAAATGGTCAACCTAAAGTATAGTATATTTACTTGGGTATAAGTTTACTTCTAATGGGATATAAAATATTGGTTCTTGTTGTAATCCTCAAACTATGGCGAAATTGCACCACTGTACACTATTGTCTTCAGTGAGCTGATATCTCACAACAGACCTGGTTGAACTCCACTGGTCACGGCTTCTCACTAGAACTCAAGGAAATGCGTCTTGAAGTCAGTCACTAGTGAGCAGATGATTATTATCAGAATGGGTTTTGTGGAGATTTTAGTAATTTCGATAGACCACAGTGGAAAACCTAGAAGAACTGGACGGCCATTTCGTTTTAGTATGGGACTCCTCAATACCAATAATACTGTTATTAAATTATATTGTTTATTACAAAATAAAAGATAATCGAATGAATGTAAATGTACAATAAAAATAATCTAATAATAATCATATATCGGTTAATAGCACACAGTTTACATATTTGTCAGCATTTCCTACTCACAGTACATACAAATAATTATAAGGATAATTTAATAAGTTTAACGTTTATTCTGTTTACTCCAATTGATGTTTCAATATTGAAATTATATATTAAAGCGAATAGTGAAGAAAAGAGGTTAAATGAATACATGATTTAGATAATCATTTCATTATTACTGATAGCACTATAATTAATAGTTTCTAATGGATTTTGAAAGACTTTATATTTAAATTGAACATTTGAATAATAACAATAATACGTCATAACCAACGGTAATTGTTTACTTGAATCCATCTAAATAGAAAATATAACGAATGAGAAATTTGATATTAAAACATTTTACCATTTACGTATAACATAAATTTCAATCTGTGAAATTTCTAAAATCTCCACAGACCCCTTCTGATCGTATAACATAAACTTAAAAAAAACTTTGTTTTGATGAAATTCTGACGAAATGAAATTGTAGAATGTTCAACCTATTGGTAATTGAACTAGGAAGTGATAAATCATTTATCCATTCAAAGAAATAGCTTTTTTTTAAAAATAAGGCTAATAGTTTATAAGAAGTTTAGAATATAGTTAGATAATAGGTGATTTTCATTGGATTTCAGTTTATATCTGAGAACTGACAGGTAATTATATTTAAATTTATGGGTTGATGTTAGCTAGATCACCATTGAAAAACTGGAAGCACTGGACGGTCGTTTCATCCTAGTATGGGACTCCTTAACAGTGCGTATGCACGATCCCGCATGTGGGAATCGAAACCAGGACCTTCGGTTTCGTGTGTGAACGCTTAACCTCTAGACCACTGAGTCGGCATCAAACGGTGCTAATGTTTAACGAACCCACATTTCAGTCATTCTATACAGCTGATGAATATGCTGTAAGAAAATAACTGAACAAATTTTATCGTCACAACAACTATCTTATTCTCTTAAATTTCTGAAAAGGTTCGCTTACCGATCTTTTACTTTTTATAGTGTGTAAAATTTAGAAATAATTCAAACTTAGCACTTTTTGAACTAATGACAAAGATCAAAATTGTATATACTGTAAATTTACATGAATGGGCAGGCTTGCAATAGGTAAATGCCAAAAATATCACCATTTATCTTCTAGTTTTCAAAAAATGCAATGGGTGTATATCTAATTTCTGATATGATTCTCACATGTTCTTGGACAACAGAGAGTGAAAAACGGATATTTATCATACAATTAGTGTCTCAAGTTTGTTTATTTACAGGGTAATCAGTCTTGGATGAAAAATAGCTATAGTGTTGTTACTTATAAGTAGTATCAGTAGTCAGATTAATATTTCACTTACTTCAAATCATTGACATTTCAGTGTTCTAATTCAAATTACACTGAACTTCTTGTAAAAAGTGGTTACTTGGTGACGAAATTTAACGGTCATATGAAGGACTTTACTTAATGTCTTGAATGTGTATATATTGTATACTAGCCAGTTCAAGAAACCTTCCACATCTAATTATACACCGTACAAAATTGAACAATATGCTGTATAAAAACTAATCATCACTTATTTTCTATTAATTTAACAGCTGGACACAATATTCACTACCTAATAAAAGTTCACTATGGTTAGGACATTTCAGGATTATTCGGAATTCTATAATTCTATTTTTAGGACGTGTTGTTAATACCTCCACTTTAATTAATTAGCTTTACTTTTTCATATTAATGGTAAATGCTTTTGAATCTTTTTGATATTTCAGTAGCCTATTTATTAAGACCATAACTTTTGGTAATAATTCTGATTTAATAGATAGAAATATTGGTTTACAATATTACTGTGAGCATAAAAAACACTAAAAAAAAATAATCAATAGAATTTAACTCAAATAAACTCACCTAGTTTTAGTATCTTAAGAATATTTCAAGAAAAAAAAATGTGTTCATTTTTATTGTGAATAGGATTTTTCCACTTGTTCATGCCATCTTGGTAGAATCTCTGTAAAAGAAAAATAGAAACATTTTAGTTAAGTCTTCCGTCATATTGTCTATAGAAAGAAAGACAAATTCCTTCGAAATGTTATCACTTAATATTCATTTTCACCTGATTCCTGATCATAGAAAAGACTTATATATCAAACAGTTTTATGAAACTGGAGCCTAACCAATTTACTACTTACTGACAAGTTTCAATTTCGGTTTTACTAGTCTCTAAGAAAAATTTACTTAGATTGTAACTTAAATATGGTCATTACATAAAATTATTTTAGATATTAATTTACACCCATTGTAAACTAAAAGGAACTTGTGTCATTCTCAGATGATAGCTGTTGAATGATCTACTTTGACTAAAAGAAATCTTTTTAATAGTCGACTATCAGTTCTATGGTATAAACTTACTTAATATTGTGATTTGACGATATTTTCTGCTCAATGAACTGGATTTACTTAGTTTTATGAATTCTTCTCGACAGATTTCGGGTGTTAAATAGGATTTGGTTTTCCCACATTTACTGACATCAGAATTATTCAATAAATTTCTTGTCCTGTTTAAAGGAATTTGATTTAGTAAAGTACTTTTAGTCAGTGTGATTTCATTTATTTGCATGAACAAATTATGTTTAGGAGGCGGATTATTGGAGGATGCGTTCTTTATGTGTCGAACGTCAATTATATAAAACCACTTTCTCACCGGTATATTCCATGAGTTAATTGGGTTTAGTACACTCTTCTTCTCTATCTTATTATTCTTCAGTTCGAATTGTAGGCTACGATTGCCATCAGTTATCGAATAACTGGGTTGCACATACTTTATTCGTTTATGTGGTGTTTTTGAAGGGTCAAAATGTTCAATCTGAGTTATTGATATATGATGATTTGAATGATGTAGTTTGTTGAGATAAAACGACGGTATATATTGACTAGTTGTGTCAGTATACTTCCAATGCCAAGTATCTTTCGGTCGAATTTTTTCATAATCACTCTGTTTGGCAATAAATGCCGATGTCGAGGAACATTTAAATGGATATGTTAGTACGTTACTGGATTGTGTTGAATTTCTTGAAAAAAATTTTGATGTCAAATATTCACTGTCGAAGTCATAAATTTCTTGTAGTTTTTTAGTTGATAATGCTATTAAATCCTCAGCTTCTTCTTGTCTCATTCTAGTCAAAAGTGCTTTATCTATAGAGCAGTCATTGCAACATGAAAATAATTGTCTTGCTGGAGAATTGACTTCTGAATACACTAACATCTAGAACTTACAAGATGAAAGTAAGTTACTGAGTGTTATATTTAATAATCTAAATCAAAAGATAAAACTTACGTCACCGGGTCAGGAAATATGTTAACCTCTGACCAATCAAAATGGAGTAAATTAATTTGCGGTAAAAAAGTTCGTTTGTTTTATTGGTCACATAGATCAATATTTTTGTTTATATTTTTTTAGTGAGACTTTTTTTCTATCAGTAGCCGGGGTTGAAAATACTCCTCCCACCACCTCAAGAATTCTGTAGACTAAAATGAAATTTCAAGTTTATCTTTTATAATATTTTAATAATTATAATAACTTTGACTGTCAAACCTTAAGTGACTTCAGTTTAGTCCTGAACTTATTAATCAGTTAATTCATAATGACAATTAGCAAGGATTACTAGACTCTATGTATATGTCTTAGTCGAAACTGAGTAAGAAACTGGCAAGCATTAGATATCTCCATTAATAGTCTCATTAGCAACAGAATTACATGAAATCCACATAGGAAGTAAAGCTGCAATTTGGATCGTAGTCTCACGAGAATTATCAACGTCACTAATGTAGCACAGACAGGTGCTGACTAGCAAGCAACTCAAGTTCAAGACTTCTTTTTAAATAACTCAAGCCATCTAATACCAAACGATGGTCACTATAGCATCAAGTTATTTAACCATCTTTTAATTATTTTAACTTCAAAAAATGATCAGAAGCATTTTATTATTTGTCCACCTTTCACCGGTTGAAATATCAGAATTTTTGAATATCATTTGTTCATTTAATATACTTTGGTAATAATTAGTACCAATTAAAACTAATTATGTAGTCATAAAGTTTTTTCTGAAATTTCATTCATCTTAAGATGTTTTTTGACACACACACACACACACATAGGCCAACAAGAGAAAAAGCTCAAATTGTTGCTTTACCAAAACTCAAACACTGAACTATGCAGAATAGAACTCAACCTAATTATTAAATGATAATCGATATAGATGCCTACATGAAAAATTCAAGGAATTAAATTTCAAATCAGAGATTAAATGACATGAAACTTGAAGTTCTTGAATATAAGTCAATGAGTTATTGTTGCTGGACATTTTCGAAAAGTCATAAATTAAGAGAAAGATATCTGTTAAATGTACCCCGGTTTCAAATAATTTCACAGTTGATGTAAGAATACTGTCAAACTACATATTAACTTAATAATGACTAAAAAAATAACTGAACTCTGCTAAAGCGTTTTAAGTAAGTTTAGTTATCAAATAACTGTGGTTTTAAAATCATGTATTCAAATATTATCAAAATGTCAAAAACCTTTTTTAAATATTGACCGGCAATTAATCAAGAATATTGACATTTCAATTCAGTGTGTAGATCATCAACGCTGGTCTCTGTCGAATGATTGGGGGCCTACTCCAGTTAGGTGTGAGTGATGTAACCAACAGCTGACGTCGAAATCACACCTAGCGGTCAGTATCTAACGTGTAGTACCCCTTCGTCCTATCAAGGCACTATGAATGATTTGAAGACCGTACAACACAAAGGACACTATTACAGAAATATATTATTAAGGATGAGTACAGAGAAGATAGTGGGACCACTACCGCATAAGCCAGCCAACGGCATACGACTAAGTGATGCACGTTGATCTGTTCGATATCCAGTGACCCAACTGCCGGATGATTTGGCTAGGGCTCAGTGACATTTCACTAATCCTATAAATGCATCAAAAGTTACTATACCACATAAAGAAATGTTTATCATTGTAATTAGAAATCTTATTCATTGATGGACATGAAATAATTTTTATTTAAAGTACTTTCATACGATATAACAATGAATCTGAATAAATACATGTGAAATATAGTGCGAAAATATAACAAGGATTTCAAGAGTGATAAAAACGCCGAACTGATCAGTGGGGGTGGGGGGGATTGTACATAAGGCTTAGTGTAAATACTCGATTAGAATAAATTCATTTTTTAATTTGTTGTTATTTGTAATAGGCATGATACAATAATTACAGGACAAACACTTCATACCTAGTAAATTTATCATAACCCTTTCTATAATTAAGAATAAATATAATGGCAAGTTAAATAATATCCACTGATTTATTTTATAAATCCAGACAATTCGTGGGATCATGGATGCGTACTTCTGTACACTCACATATTAAAATGAAATAGTTATCCACTACTCACTAAATAGTTAAGGGAACATTTTAAGAGTGAATATTATAAACTCTTTCAAGTATTAGGCTTAGTACTTCCACATAGTCTAGTCAGTACTTGATAGTTGAGCTAATCAATGAAAAGATTGATTTCATATTAAGATAACTAAATTGTTGGTCCCATTCAATACGTCTTGAAATAACTGGAACATATTGCTTTACATTTTACAATGTTTGTTATTCAATTTTATCTTTGTATAATTAATGTGGTACGATCTTCAAAGGTCATATGAATTATGAGTAAACTATAATGAACTTTCGTCCAACAGAGTTAGCTGAGGAATAACGTGAACTGTGTTACACAATCATAAAATAGACATTAAAGATTCATGATAATAGTAATCATAACAATGACTCATTTATTATCTGCTTAGATAATTTCACTAATATATTCTGAATAAAAATGAAGTTAAAAATAGAACTATGTAGTCGTATTGAAATATCCGTCACGTTTCCAAAGCTTTATTAAAATCTCAAATGTTCTAAGTGACTTCTAAACAATATGTGACATTTCATTCTAGCAACGGGTGCAATCATCTATAACTGAATATACTATTAATCAGTTTGGTGTTGTGAACTAGAAACGAATTTCCTTTATTTTAAAGTGATTTTCATGGTAATTCGACATTATCTTAAGAATGATTAAGAGCTAAACACCATTGGAGAGACGATTCATTCATGCCTGATACTTGTCAATAGAACACAACGACCACATACATCTATGTATCATGGTAAGCATAATGCTTTTAAGTAAGTGGTTTGGAATACAAAGGTACTTACTCAAAGCACCAGTTATTGAAACATCATGCAGATAATTGTTAACCAATATGAAACTTATGTCTAGACCTTTATACTGGATTGCTTATTATCACCTGTCAGTTTCTAGTAATAAAATTGTGGCGTATAAGAAAAATCACTTAAAGAATCTCAATTCAGATCACGTTTGTTAACCAATTTGTTTTGCTCTATGGATGTTATGAGAATAGCTTGTTTAAACGTCTATATATGATCATAGACACTAGAACTTTAAAAGTCAGTTAACATAAAAACACGTAAATATTTTTTTCCGCTTTATTTACAGACTGACAATTTTAGCACCAACTATTTGACTTTATTAATTACTGGACAATTTTACAAGGGAAAAATTATGATGAAATGATATAGAGATATTTTTTCGAATGGTTTATGTTTTATTTACAGATTAAGGGACATATGGATTTGATGAATCACAAATCCAGTCACAATGTATTGTATTTACCTGTCCTTCTACATTTCACAATTACTCATATTCAATAATTTTTCTTTTATTTTCAACCACGTGTAGTTTATTTAAGTTACAGACAACATATTGAAAACGTGATGATCGTCTACTTTGACTATTTTGGTTGCCAAAAAAAGTTTACAAATCTTAATGTTCAGTTCAGTCATTTTGGCAGAAAGAATAAAAATAGTTTGGGATAAATTTAGAAATATTTTTAGGAAAAAATATGTATCGACTTTTCACCTGTGTATGAAGGTACAATTGTTATCGACATGTTTTACAATAAAACAGTAACGATTCCCATTTCTTATAGAACAGTTTCACGATTTGGTGTCGTCAAATTATTTCCTGAAAAAATGTTTATTTAAACATTGTAATAATGCTGTACTTGCAAATACATCTAATAAGACTGTATGAAAATTGAATGTACTTATTTAAGTGTGAATATGTAACAAAGCGTAATTTAGTGAGTGAGATTCAATATGGTTTGCTCACGTATCGTTCTCATTCACATATAAATTTAATATAATATGATATAAAGGAAAGTAAAGACATCATCGGTATAGGAGTGTAATGAAGAAACATTTAAGTGAGATGAAACGAGAATAAACAATGCCAAAATGTTAGTGAATTTTTTTCAGATTTTGTACAGTTTTCAAGTAATTTTCAGTATCCTCATCAATAATAATTGTATCCTTATCAATGTTCACCTGAGACACGGATTTTTCAAAGTCCTGACTATTAGAATCAACCAGCTTGCAAAATAAGACAGAAAGCGAATAATAACAATATGTACAAATCATGTCAAGTCAATACTTGACTGAATTTGAAAGTGTAAGTAACTGGATTCCTACCCTGAATACCTGTGAATGTAACTTGCTTGCAGTAAATTGTACAAAATTTGGAATATATCAACAATATAGAACAGTATATGGAACTTATTTGTATATGTATTCAGACGATATCAAGAACTGAGAAAGGTGTGGAAACTTAAAACCAAGTGAAGTAAAGTTGATCTTTGGATATTTTGTACTGAAGGATGGTACTATAAGAAAAAGATAGTCGAAATGAACTATCAGCTTCTTTCAAGTACCTCAATTAATTTATTTTAGTCTTCATTTATATGGATTATTTGAATATTTCCATTGATGTGATGGAATTTAGTTGATCAGTTTGTTTTAGCATAAGAAAATGTGACCACCGAATATCGCATGTAAATTAACTTATTTTATCACCTCTACTGGTGTGCTAACATTTACACATGTTATGAAGTGTTTGAGATTGATAAAAAATATCAACTTTCGTAATTAATTAATTCTTAAAAAATGGATTTATGGAGTGGGGTGATAAATTTCCATTTCCATTAGAATACTTTGATCTTTTTTTGTATTTTACATTGATTTGATAGGGTCATAAATTTCTTATTACTTTATATTAAAACGTTTTAATTGAAGTGAAGATTATGTCACTCATAGTAGTCACTTATGTAGTTTAAGCATGTGAT